GTGTGTGTGTGTGTGTGTGTGTGTGTGTGTGTGTGTGTGTGTGTTTAGAGTTAAGGGTCACTTGACTCACCAATGTTGGGGTGCTTTAGTAAACGACAAATCCTCGCCTCTCTCTCCAGCTTTTGATGATCTGTGGGGGGGAAGAGAGACAGGGACATTATGATCCTTTATCTCTACCCGTGCTATGATTTAAATCATCTGACATGAAGTTGGAAGCAGCCCGGTTTTGCCTCAATGGAGGTCACGTTGTGTTTTCGTGTTACTGTCACTGTCAGCGTGTTTGTGTTGGAGTCTGTCGGGATGTGCTGGCTTCGAATCAGCTTGCTCTTTTCCTTATCTGAACTGAAGTGACAGAAATAATGTGACCTGATATGGTTGTGTGTCACAAGAAGACAGGGTGTAACAAACAACACATCAGCCCCGTCGTTGTAGTGGTTTATGGCATACAAATTGATGGTGGGTATGCACAAAATCTGTATGTGTGGACGTGAGGTGTTAAACTCTCCATGCAGTTTTCACTATAAGAATTGGTGAGCATAATTTTAAAGGCAAACTTTAACCCTAAGCTCTAAAGATTCTTAATTGCTTTCTTTGTGAGCTGAATTTTAAACAAAACATCAAAGTGATGGATGACACGTTCATGCCTGTGAGCCGAAAAACACACAAAAGTTCAGAAGCTGCAAAGAGGGTCAATCTGCTTTGCTGCAACTGAACCCCAAACAAGAAACATGGCGACCTTTGGGAGAGGAGACTGATTTTATTTGACTTTATGAACATGAAGTGACACAGAAATCTTTCTGTGAGGACAGTCAGGACTCTGACTCAGTTATTCTGAGTCAGAGACTCTGGACTCTGAGACTCAGATTGGCAACAGCAGTCATCAGAATGCGTTACACGGTTTGGAGGTGACCCACTTCAGCAACATCTCAGGGCACAGAGAACATGGAACACTGTGGAAGACGCCCCCATCTATAAATCAGATAACATTGTTGGTTTTCACTCGTATGTTTGTGTGTTCTTCCCCTACTTATAGTGATACTTTAGAATTTGTAAGTTTTGGAAAACACACACACAAAAAAAAAAAAAAAAACAGCAAGCAACACCATTAAATTTTCTTTTCATCAAAAAGACATTTCTGTTGTTTTTATTTTTTTATTTTTTGTATGTGTGTCAGAGTTTCATCCCTGAATGATGTTGGTATTGAATCATGCCTTTCAAAAACCTCAACCTCACAGGTTGTATAAAACCACTACGTGCCAGAGTTTATGGCCTCATTCTGATTGATTTAATAACTAAAATAATCTTTACTCAGTGTTTCTATCTGCAGCATTAAAACCTACAATATGACTTGAAACAAGGTTGTTCTTACATGATGGCTCATTGATCTTTTTACAGATAATGCTGCATATGCTCAGTGTCAAGTATGTTGGGATGCAAACTAACATGCATGGGATGCTCTAGATATATTCATGCCTACTTCTGGATCGTTACAATACATTTAATCTAAGCCAGGGATAGACAACTGGTGGCCTGCGGGCAACATCCGGCCTGTGGGTGACTTCTATCTGGCCCACCAATGAAAAGTTTACTGAAGTCGCAAGAACACTGTTTACCAGAATCACAACCAGGAGTCTGAACTCAAAGCATCTATGTGTTTATTTTTTGTTTGCTTCAAACAGTTTGCATTTATACTTATTAAACCAGAATACACCTGTTACACATGCAATTTATAATGAAATGTGTCAAGTTGCTGCACTGTATGATGGTTTAATAAACATAAACAAACATTTGGGTAAGTGTGCAGCACTATGTGGCCCTCTGGTAGTGTCAACAAAAAAACTGTGGCTCCTTCCATCATTTAAGTTGCCCCTCCCTGGTCTAAGCAGTGTTCACACCTACCTATGTTTCAGCTGTGCTTTACAAGTAATCTGACAATCTGCAACATTTCACAGTGAGGAGATTTTGCTATCACTTCGGAGCCCGCGAGGGGACATGGGGGGGATTTTTTTTCTTTTGCGTTACCTCGCAATATCTTTGCATTGCCTCGCAAAACTTTTTGCGTTTCCTCGCAAACATTTGTGTTCCTTCGCAAAATTGTTTTGCGTTCCCACTCAAAAGTTTGTTTTGTATATGAACTGAATTAAATCAGACTTTTATTTTGAACCATCCGGTTACCAAAACAGGATGTGTCGCCACAAGTTCGTGAAATTGACATTGATGTTGTGGCTGTACTGTGTAAAAATATCGGCATGCGACACACTTCCATACATGGCTGTGTGATATATTCATTCTGTAGCTGAATTAAAGCAGTAGGCTAACTCGCTAATGGTGAACGTGAATTTGTTGATAAACCGGCAGGCACAACAGTGATAAATGACTTTTGCGAGGGAACGCAAAAGAAAAAAAATCTCCCATGTCCTCTCGCAGGCTCCATACATCACAATGTAAAATACCAGTAAAACAAATTCATAGGTATGTTTGTCTATAAAAAGTCAAAAGACAAGCAGGTGTAAAGGAGCAAAAAACTAGAGTTGAATGCTGACCATACGAGAAATAGCTAAATGTATTTGGTGTGTGGAGCCCAGTTTTACACATGTGCAAAAGGGTTGATTACCAACCTTCCATGACCAAAGTGCAGAGGAGGTGAAAACTATTTAGAAACAAATTGGATTCTTTATCTTGTATTTTGATCAAAGCATTTCACAACTGTTGAACTTAAGACCCCAGGAAATCATTGTAGCTTCTGAAAAAAAGGTGTATGGTTTTATAAGGTTACAAGAAAGCGACACAATCCTGCACATAAAACTTGTAAAATTACTCTGTGAGTTTGTTAATGTGTCAGTTTGGTTGAACCACACTCTCAGCTGATGAGCACAGAGGCTCAGGCAGCCCCTGAAACAAGGGCAACTAAGTGGATTATTAGCAGGACCCTCTGAGCGAGGTCGCCGATCACTGTTTCAGTCTCACCATGCAGTTATGTGGTACTCATGCTTTAGAGTCACTCTCAGTCTAATGATCAAACATCTGATTTTCATCTGACGGTTTATAACACTTCTTCTATTAACATCATCAACACATTTATCTAATCCCTTTTGACACTTTTAAAATTTTTCCCTTTACTTTATTAATCTCTGGGAAACGTAATTTATTGTTGTTTTCAAATTAAATCAAATCTGATCAGACTTTATTTTCCTTATGAACTTAGGCTCACATGTGGAAGACTCAGCAAAAGAAACAGTATAAGCGAATGTGATGCTTTCTGGTTTCATCACTGGAATAAAGTTGCTCAAAAACTCACACAGGAGGTCATGTCCTGTTTGATGCTGCGGTTGTTTGTCCTGTGACAGCCACCCTCCTCCTCCTCCTCCTCCAGCAGCATTTTCCACCTCCTTTTTTTTTCTTTCACTCTGCCTCCACTCCTCCTCTCCCTCCTTCCTCCACAGGTAGCACATCTCCTCGCTGGCTGGACATCTGTTGTCTAGCAACTCCTGCACCAATCAGAGCGTCAGGCCTCCCCTCTCCTCTGCAGTGGAACCAACCTTGCATGCAAATGGTAGACATCCTAGAGTTCACGTGCAGCGATCAAACTCTACAGACAGAGGAAGTAACTGGGACTGTGGAAGCTTTCAGGATTACAGCTTTATAGGCTAACGCTCGCTTTGACAACATATAAGACATCCTGATTTACAGAACATCTTGGGTAAAAGTGGGAAACAATCAGCCAAAACTAAAAGGATGAATTCCTTAGATGAATGCATATCACCTGCCAGACTGCTGACTTACAGACTAATGCAAAGAAAGGATAAAGTAACCATTTTGGTCAAACTTTACAAATAATATTGCAACATGTTATGCTCAAAGTATATGTTGTGAAGGGCTCTCAGCTACAACTGCATCAAACTTTAGCTCAATGTCAGTAAAACTGCTTGAGTTACAGCGTTTTTTTGTGTGTTCACTAATATCCATCTTTAACTGGATTGACTCTAAAAGCTAATCAGTTGTATATTTAAGTTCAGTGATTAATTTCTAAAAGTTTCATTAAAATCCATCCAGTGGTTCATGAGATGTTTTGGTAACACAAAGGCAAAACATTACTGGAATGTGTTTCTTCTAAAGGAGGAGAGCACAAGTGAATGTTGTTTTTTTTTGGTCTGTACTGTTCTAACTTTTATTGCCTTACTTCATAAAAGTCTCATAAATCCCTTTGCTTTTTAATACTGCAGCTGCAAGCAACTAAAAATCGGCTTGACCCTCAGAGAGTCGGAGTTTGATAGTAATGGGTTGTGACTGGGTGACAAAAATGCTTCACGGCTCCCGAGCGTATCTGAGCACGTGCAAACTGGAACTCTGCTGCCACAGATATTTACGATGAGAGGCACTGTTCTCACGTTTGTTCAAACTGACAGCTGAACAGCCAATCACTGGAATTAACAGGCAAACACAACAAGAAAACAAAACAAAAAAATCTGTTGTAAAATATAAAGTTCTGAGTTATTTTTGAGTGTTTGTACTAGTTCTGTTTTAGGAAAGAAATTATAATTAGTTTTACAACAGTGACTATTGCCCGCTGTTGGCAAAGGCAAATACATGTGTTTTTATTTGTGTTTGTGTGTGCACCTTTGTGTAAGTGTGTCCTGTCTGTTGACATTATGCTACTTGGTGTGGTAATAGCTGAGCATCCTTCAGCACACACACTCTAAGTACTATTAATTGTACAAGATCTTTGCTTAAACTTTAATAATAACTGTCTTAGTCAACCCTATTTGTCTGTCAGCAAAATATCTCATAAAATATTGGATGGAGTTTAATGAATCTTTCAGAGGGATATCACCAGATGAATATTTGTAACTTTCAGATAACAGGCAGAAAGCACATCAAGCAGATGTAAAGCTTTTTTTTCTGCTAAACTAAAGTTTATTTATATTTGATCTTTTCAGATCACAATCACCAGCACATCTTTCAGCGAGGAAGCAGAGTCAGTTGTTTCTAACATACCATTGCAACAAACTAATTCATTGCCCATGTAATTACAACAGTCAATATTCATGGCAAATTCAGATAAACAGAAACTTAACTCTGAAACATATCCATCCAAACATCTACAAGATCATTTACGCCTAAAAGTGTTGC